CCAAGTGAAAGTATGGACAGACAAGGATCTAGTACTCTCACGGGTGCGGGAATTGGTAAACAGAGGCTGGTCATCAGAATTAAAAGAGATTGAGTTTGGCCCTTATGCAGTGAGGAAACAGGAACTCAGTATCCAAAATGGGTGTGTGTTGTGGGGCGCAAGAGTTATTGTGCCAAAGCCAGGCCAAGAAAGTGTTTTGAGACAGCTTCATCAATGCCATCCAGGAGTGTCCAGGATGAAAGCACTGGCTAGGAGCTATGTATGGTGGCCAAAGCTCGACAAGGATGTAGAGGATACTGTCAAGTCCTTAACATGTCAAGAGCACCGAAATGTTCCGGCACCAGCTCCGTTACACCCCTGGGATTGGCCTGATAAGCCCTGGAGTCGTATTCATGTGGATTATGCTGGGCCATTCATGGAGAAGATGTTTTTTGTGCTCATCGATGCACTCAAAATGGATGGATGTGGTTCCAGTCAATTCTGCCACTTCAGCCACTACAATTGAGTGCCTGCGTACCAGTTTCAGTAACCATGGACTGCCTGAATTGTTGGTGTCTGATAATGGCACCTGTTTCATCAGCACAGAGTTCGAAGATTTCCTGAAAATAAATGGTATCCGTCATGTGACCTCGGCACCCTATCACGCCTCCAGTAACGGGTTAGCAGAGAGAGGGGTACAGACATTTAAAAGGATGATGAAAAAATGTCCAGAAGGCACACTGACAGCCAAGGTAGCCAGAGTGTTATTTAGTTATCGTGTGACTCCTCAGACTACAACAGGTCTGTCACCAGCAAAGCTGCTTCTCGGGAGGAAGCTACGTTGCTGTTTGGATTCAATTCATCCAGATCTGTGCATGAAGGTGAAAGAAAAACAGGAAAGACAAATAAGAGATCATGACAAAAAGGCAAAGGGGCGCTGGTTCAAAACAGGAGACTCAGTGCTGACGAGAAACTTCAGTTTTGGACCCAAGTGGATTCCAGGAATCATAGAGTCAGTGACAGGGCCAGTGTCATATAAAGTGATGCTGGGTGATGGGAGAGTAGTCAGGAGACATGTGGACCAGATTCATGCTCACCACCGAAGACCAGAAAAAGACCATGAAAGACAACAGACTGACTCGACTCAGCTAAGTCAGGCAGCCGAAAAAGGAGAGACATGGCAGGACGTTGAGAGTGTGGTGCTCAGTGGGGACGAGTTGGAAGAGCCAGCAGCTACAGAAGCTGCAGCAGCAGAGAAGGTCCATGGAACTGTGGAAAATACAAGTCCGGGGAAGAGACAGTCAAAAAGAGAGACTAAGTTACCCAGTTACCTTAAAGACTTCCAGCTGAGCTAAGAAGGGAATAGATAATACTGTTGTGAGTCACCCGTTAGGTTTAATACAACATTGTTACAGTGTTACAATGTTCCTGTTGGATGTATATAACCTGCTTGAGGGGAAGGGGATGTTGTAAGGTCATATAATTGCATGTTAGTTCACCAGTCCACTAGGTGGCACTGTGACATTGAAGTTGTTGCCGTTCCATGAGCATAAAAGAGGAACTGGGGGACTAGGATGTTGTTATGCTAAGTATGTGATGAACCGGAGTCGCAGCTCGGCGCTACCAGAAACCAATAAACTCCACTATGCTCACCAGAAGCCTCCTGTGAGTTACTACAGATATGTAGAGAGAAGTTGTCAACGGTGGTGCAGCCTTTACGTATTGAGGAACAACAAGGGAGAGGAAGACAGCTGACGATCTTCAGTCATAATTCAATGGGGTATGTAATTTATTTCAGAAAACACTTTTTGTTATATTCCATGGAATGCTCTTAACGTCCCGATAGCAATGAATATATGAAATGCTTTGACAATAGATACATACAAAAATTAATCTGTGGAAGCCGTAGCGCTGTAAAAAGCACGACCAATCCTCTGAGCCGGCCCGGCTAAAGTAACTGGATGTCCTACCTGCCTGTCAGCCTTCCATCTGTGCACAAACTGATCTCGTGCCCTCATTGGTCATGTGCGCGTTCGTGTGTGTTGGAGGAGGGGCTCTGTAAGGAAGTCTGAAGGAAGAGGCATATTTTTTCTGGTTGTGTATTTTCAAATTCTAGCACACTCGAGCTGGTTTCTCCATTCTTCCATACCAGCTATATGTTTTATTTATTTAAAAGTGGGCCCATTTTAATAATATTTGTTTTCCCTTCAAATGTGCAGAGGACTCCCCAAGTGCTGTGTTTAATTTATTTTAAAGTAGGCCTGTGTATTATTTTAAATTCTCCTTATAAGAGTTATTTGTTTCTTATTAGAGGTTAACAGTTTTATATCATGTAATAAATAGCCTAATAAATGCAAAAAAACTGTAGTTTTTGTCTGATATAACAATCAAAAACTATGATATGTTTTGCGGCTCCAGACAAACAATTTTTTTGGAAAAAGGAGCAAAATGGCTCTTTTGGTCAAAAAGGTTGCAGACCCCTGCCCTAAGGGAACCTCAGCTACTGCTTATCAGAGTTTGTTTGTCCATGATCAGTAGACCATTCTGTTATTTAACATTGAGTTAGGATGTGAGCAGGAAACCGATGGACTGTCCACTCCAAGTAGGGAATGAGTCCTTACCCCAAGTGAAGGAGTTCAAGTATCTCGGGGTCTTGTTCTCGAGTGAGGGAACAATGGAGCGTGAGATGGGCCGGAGAATCGGAGCAGCGGGAGCGGTACTGCAGTCGCTTTACCGCACCGTTGTGACGAAAAGGGAGCTGAGCCAGAAGGCAAAGCTCTCTGTCTACCGGGCTATTTTCGTTCCTACCCTCACCTATAGTCATGAAAATGCTGCAGCTCGTGTACTAACCAGAGTTAGGAAAAGGGACCACATTACTCCTGTTCTTACTCATTACTGGCTGCCTTACACTGGCTCCCTATAGAACACAGGATAGAATTTAAAATTCTTCTTCTCGCCTACAAAGCCCTTAATGGGCAGGCGCCATCTTACCTTAAAGAACTCATTATACCCTACTGTCCTACTAGGGCATTGCGTTCCAAGAATGCAGGGTTGTTGGTTGTTCCTAGAGTCTCTAAAAGTACAATGGGAGCCAGAGCCTTTTCTTATCAAGCTCCACATTTGTGGAATCAGCTTCCAGTTTGTGTTCGGGCGGCAGACACCCTATCCGTTTTTTAAGAGTGCGCTTAAGACCTTCCTTTTTGATAAAGCTTATAGTTAGGGCTGATTAGATTCAGCCCTTAGTTTTGCTGATATAGGCTTAGTTTGTCGGGGGACATCTTACTTCTTCCTTCTCTCTGTCTATACCTGTGTACTCTCATGTTCCGATTAACTCAGCTTTCCCAAATGTCTTTCTTTTTGGTGTCTATATACGCCGGGATCCGGAGTCATGGATGATCCTGCGGTCCTGTGTCCTGGATCGCGAGCCCTGGATCTTGAGTCGTGGCTGTGGTCCTGGATCATAGGTCCTGGATGGATATCCTCGTGGATTCATCTTCCTATTATACACACATGCATTTCCAAACATTTGGACTACCTATGTTGCAAATGTATTATCTTTTCAATTTACACACGGCATCTATTGCACGTCTGTCCGTCCTGGGAGAGGGATCCCTCCTCTGTTGCTCTCCCTGAGGTTTCTCCCATTTTTCCCTTTAAACTGTGGGTTTTCTCTGGAAGTTTTTCCTTGTACGATGTGAGGGTCTAAGGACAGAGGGTGTCATATTGTCATACTGATATTTTGTACAAACTGTGAAGTCCACTGAGACAAATGTAACATTTGTGATATTGGGCTATATAACTAAACATTGATGGATTGATTGATTGAAGGATGTGTCATGACCGAAAGAACGAGATCGCGGATACAAGCGGTCGAGATGGGTGTTCTCCGCAGGGTGGCTGGTGTCTCCCTTAGGGATAAGGTGAGAAGTTCAGTCATCCGGGAGGGACTCGGAGTTGAACCGCTCCTCCTTCGCGTTGAAAGGGGCCAGTTGAGGTGGTTCGGGCACCTAGTTAGGATGCCTCCTGGGCGCCTCCCTAGGGAGGTGTTCCAGGGACGTCCAGCTGGGAAGAGACCAAGGGGTAGACCTAGGACCAGGTGGAGGGATTATATCTCTTCGCTGGCCTGGGAGCGCCTTGGGATCCCCCAGTCAGAGCTGGTTGATGTCGCCAGGGAAAAGAAAGTTTGGGGCTCTCTGTTGGAACTGCTACCCCCGCGACCCGACCACGGATAAGCGGGAGAAGATGGATGGAACATTGAGTTAACAAATAGTTCCTTGCAAAGATTTAGAGGTAAACTGCGCAAATTAAGAGATTTAATATTGTCATACAGATGTTAACTTGAAGGTTACATTGTTTTGTATTTGTTTACTAAGGATAATATAGCAGTGTCTAGTCTAGAAACCGGTATGTTCGTTTGATTGTAGTTTTGGTTATTTAGAGGGACTGTTTAAACAGCAGATTTAAAAGTTTTTTGGAGTTTTATTGTCCAAGTGCTGCTGATTTGAAATTGTTGTTACGATAACGTACAAAAGTTCCTATTTCTGTCAGAGAGTGGAGTTCTGTATTTACACCCTCCACCTGAAAGAAGGAGCCTCGTTTAGCTGTGAGTTTGACAACAAAAGGAGTTAGATCCGTGATGGAGTTGGAGTGGATAAGGATCGGTTTGGAATTGGGCCTTACAGTTATTAAATCCAGGGGAAAAAGATGATACCATCAATGAAGAGGGTGTTACTCATTAACAGGCCTTTAAGAATGTGCTCACAGTGAATTAACCCGTCTTCGGATTTATTTTGTCAACGATAATCGTGCAGTTTTGCGACTGCCCTGTTGTCTAGAGGAAATAAGATGAGTCATTGATTGGACTGATACACAATGCAGTGTGACTCATTTTCTTAGAAACTGAATGGACGCACACACAAGTTATAAACACTGGAAAAAAAGCAGGATCTGGCAGGCTTCTACTTCACCACAGTGACTCAACGCTTTGTGCAAAGATATAAACAAGCTGTGAAGCTCCTGACCTGTCGCAGGATTCCTATCTGCTCGATTTCCTCCCTCAAGTGCTCCATCTTCCTCCTCATGGTGAAGCTGGGGTCTGTGGAGGCGTACTCCTGGCGGCTTCCTTTGGCGAATGCTGAAATAATAAATGGAGTCTTTTGAGTTCCAGATCATTTACAGCGAAACAAAAAAGACGTTTTTATAGTAGAACAGCAACCATTGAAGCGGCAAATTCCACTCCTCAATTCTCGACTTCCATTGGACAAAAAGCCAAAGCCCTTTGAGTATATAGACATTTTTATTGATTGGGATAAACCCCTTGAGATGCACCATCTCGTTTTCAAGGGGGTCCCGACAATAGCAACAACTTACAGACATACATAAACAAAAAGACAAAATGCAAAACATGACACACAAGACAAACCACATACAGTCTGTTAAGTAAAATTCAAGCAATGCATACAATCATTACAATTTGAGACAGTCAAGCAAATCAATATCAGTTTCATTAATAACAAGTACAGACCAGTTGAAAGTGAGATGATAATGCATGTTTAAACATACCCAATGATGCAAAAGATCTAATAGCAGCAGGTCGAGTATTCCAGTCAGTTGGGGCTTTGAACATGAACGCTCTTCTGCCAATACATTTTTTTAGTGAAGATATTCAAGCGGTAAATCTTGATGTTATCTGTGTTTAGACGCCACGGTAACCAAGTGTAGAAGATTTAAATCACTGCAGCTTACCGCCCATGGTTTTTCTAGAAATGAATATGATTATTATCTTTTGTCCTCATAATACAACAACAAAGTACAGGCCAGTACATTTCCTAAACACATTTTCTTCCCCTAAAATGTTTTGTTTTAATTGAATCCCCCGCAAATCCTTTCACTTCAATGGTTCCCTTGTTTCTGGAAATGAAGCTTCTTACAACATATAATACGGTTGTTTTCCAAAAATCTTCTTTTTAATGTGTGACAATATTCAAAGAGTTGTTTTCTGCTCTTATTTTAAAACTAATTCACACTTTAATTTGACTTAATCAGACTTTCATACAACCGTCATCTCCCTGAATATTTGACATCTACTGTATATCTGTGTTTAAGAAAAAATTAGATACAGGGTTTCATTTGATTATGTTTCTTGTTTAGTTAGAATTACATCTTCCTTACAGTCCCAATGAGAAGAACAAACCTTCTGTACAAATGCAGTGACTTTTACTTTACTATATTATAGCTTTATCAAGGCAATATTTAGGGAGAAATAACGTACATTTTAAACATGACAAACATTTGCACGGCTCAAGCTTCTCCAAGGGAGGGTCGTTGACCTCTTTATCCTTAATATAACTGAATACATGAGATGTTTGACTGTGGAGACAGAAGTAATTATATAAGGTGTACATTTGATCCTATCGTACTAGTTGCAACCTTATATAAAAGTTTAAAAAAGTATTGCACTTTAGCCAACTCAACTTAAATAAAATGCTGATTTAATGCATACCTTGTAATGGTTAAATACAATATTGCTACTTTGTACTTCTACTACACTACAATCCAGAGGAGAATAGTGTACTTTTACTGCACTATGTTTGTTAAACACCTTTAGTTACTTTGCAGATTTGTATAAGTGATGTGAAATATAAACACTTCACACTTAAATGAGACTTTAGTTAATCTTGCAGAATACAAAGTCATATCATTAGCTGCACTTCTACCAGCTTTGATAACACATCAATAATTACAATCAAAACATATAATATATATATGATTCTGGAATGGGGCAATCTGCATAATACTACTTTTGGTACTTTAAGTATATTTTGATGCTAATACTTTTACTCAAGTGACATTTTGATTGCAACTTGTAACAGAGTATTCCTACACTTTGGTAGTTCTACTAAGTACCAGGTCTGAGTATTTCTTCCACCTCTGCATACTTTAATAAACATACAGGACTTTTTAAAATTGTAGCAGAGTATTTCTACAGTGTGCTACTTTAAATGAAATGTCCTCCACCACTAGCAACAGATAGCTATGATGACAAATGATTTCCATGAGTCTTTCCAAATAAAACAACATGCTGACATTGGCAGATGACAAGCGTGCTGCGCCTTGTCTTTGACAGAGCTCTGATAGAAAGCAGATCAACAGTTCCTCAGAATCCTTCCCCATTTCTAGAGAAAGGACGCTGGGACTCCACCTAAACAGAATCCCTCTTGGCTTCAGAAAGGAGCCTTTGTCTTATATGAAGCAACGCCTCAGCTTTGAAGCCTTTGGAAGTTTATTATTCACTCATTGCTTATCCCATTGAGTTGCAGGTAATCAATGTAAAACTCATGTTTCTACTTGTTGAAATAGCAAATGCACAGGGTAGACGATCATCCTTTTCTCCCATTTCTTTAATATGATTTACCATTTTTACTTGAGCATCTGGATTCATCAAGTTATAAGGGGTTAAATCATTCTTAGTAGGATTTTATTTTCAGACCACTATTCAGAAGAGGTCGTCAAATGTTGGCTGTTCATTTTCTAACAATCAAGCGGAGGTGATATTGAAAAATGTCCACTGCACATATAAAAGAGGTTATCTAGTGTGAACCCATGTTCCATGCATATCCCTGCAGTGGAAAGGGAAAACACTGCGTCTAAGAGTTAACTCGGTTATGCTACAAGCCATTGTGTTTTACCTGATCTTGGCTTCAGTCCAAACACTGTTAGAGTGGTGCTGAAATCTGCGTTGCTCAAACCCTCCTGGAAACAAATCATTTATGAAAATCAGAAAAGGGTATTTTCTTAGAACTGAACATTGATGAAAAAACATTTCGCATGTTTTCTTCAAGGTGTTTCTCACACGTACCTCACACTCATCGTTGCCGTTGGAGTTTTTGCGAGCCGTCTGACACTTGTACTGTCAGGAAAGAAAACACATCATTTTAAGATCTTACTGACATACATGCGTATTTTGTTAAAGGAGGATGAAAGCGTAATTAAGGAGCACTATTGGAGTGACTTTGATGGTTATTGGACTCTAATTCATTTGGATTCCCGCTGTATGAAGAAATTAAAGGACGGCGCGTAAGTGGAAACAATTCACAAAGGGATTAAACTGTTTAAAACGCATGCTCAAAGTAAGCCGGATTTTGCCGATGTGTTTATGTGGATTCAAAAATCGTAAATAATCTACAAAATGGAGGAGACCGATCTGATCGGAGCAACTGTGACAAATAATCCAACTGAAACCGGCATGGACAATGACTTTGTTTTAAAAATGCGCTTATCCAGAAAAGCCCGGTTTGGACACTTTACGGGCAGAAGAAACATTTATATTAAAGAAAGAATTATACATTTCTGTCTTTTTATGCCTTTAATATATTAACTTGAATTATTATTCAAATTAATTCATCAACAATTTTTTATATTTTATTGTAATGTAGAGACAAGGCTTTTAGTGACAATCATGTATTGCTTTACAATTGTATGTAAAAAAAAAAAAAAAAGTCTAAATATGATATTTGGCCTCAAATCATCTGAGGCCTGGCTTTTCGATTAGAAAGCTGCTGTCACTTAGAGACGTGTGTTCACTCTCACACCTTCAGATAATCTTTTCTCAGGTACTTGTTCCTCCTGCGCTCCTCATTCTGATTGAGGACCGGTGGGACGTCGGGCCACTTTGGATCTGAATCTGACGAATCGGTCTTCAGGCTGCCATCAAAGGAGCAGGAGGAAGACGGCTGCAAAATGGGGCGGATTAAATTAAAATCATTTTCTCTGCATCCTCCAGAGAGAACACATCACATGAGAAATGGGAGACGTAATAAACAAAGGCACAGAACTTGTTTTTTGTTTGATATGTTTGCTTTAAAGTAAGAAGAGTGTGTACCTGTCCACTCAGCACTGAGGCTCCACTGCTCCCTTCATCCAGAGAGGCACTGGAATAAAGACACGTGGAGCATAGGATGACTATCTGTGTTTTACATTAGAATTACATTAAAAGGCAATATGAGCCTAAATAAATCCTTCTGGTTACTCTGTCTGAAATTTGGATTTACAAGTGCTTGTTCACTACCTGCCATCATGTGTGACTCACCTTTACTCACCGCTGGGTCACCAGACCTTCCTTCCACCAACACACTAACCTCCTTTTCCCCTCTCTCTCCAAGTGAGGTTCTTACCCTCATTACCTCTGCCCGCCCTACCACCTGTCCTCTGGACCCTATCCCTTCAAACCTCCTTCAGACTATCGCTCCTGATATTCTACCGTTTCTCACCCATTTCATCAACACTTCTCTAACTTCTGGTCACTTTCCAAACAGTCTCAAGGAGGCAAGAGTAAACCCTCTCCTAAAGAAACCCACTCTCAACCCGTCTGATGTTATAAACTACAGGCCTGTCTCTCTCCTCCCGTTCCTGTCTAAATCACTTGAACGCGCTGTCTTTAAACAACTCTCCTGTTATCTCAATCAGAACAACCTTCTGGATCCGCACCAGTCTGGTTTCAAGGCAGGTCACTCCACAGAAACTGCTCTCATTGCTGTCACGGAGGAACTGCACACTGCCAAAACTGCATCCCTCTCCTCTGTCATCATCCTGTTGGACCTGTCTGCTGCATTCGACACGGTGAATCATCAGATCCTCCTTCGCACTCTCCAAAAACTTGGAGTTTCTGGCTCTGCACTTTCCCTCCTCACCTCATACCTGAAAGACCGTACCTACAGGGTGACTTGGAGAGGGTCTGAGTCCGACCCTTGTCAATTAACTACGGGGGTCCCTCAGGGCTCTGTTCTTGGTCCCCTCCTCTTCTCCTTGTACACAAACTCGCTCGGATCAGTCATTAGCCCGCATGGTTTTTCTTACCACTGCTACGCTGACGACACCCAATTAATTCTGTCCTTTCCCCGCTCAGAGACCCAGGTCGTCGCACGCATCTCTGCTTGTCTAGCTGACATCTCTCAGTGGATGTCTGCTCACCACCTCAAACTCAACCTTGACAAGACTGAGCTGCTCTTCCTCCCGGGAAAAGATTGTCCAACTCTTGACCTGACAATCAACATCGGCACCTCAGTTGTTTCCCCGACTCAGACTGCAAGGAATCTGGGTGTGACCCTAGATAACAACCTGTCCTTCACTGCAAACATCGCTGCTACAACCCGCTGCTGCAGATACACGCTTTACAACATCAGGAAGATACGTCCCCAGCTGACTCAGAAAGCGACTCAGGTTCTGGTCCAGGCTCTCGTCATCTCACGCCTAGACTACTGCAACTCCCTCCTGGCTGGTCTACCTGCATATGCCATCCGACCTCTGCAGCTCATCCAGAATGCAGCGGCTCGTCTGGTTTTCAACCTTCCTAAATTCTCCCACACCACTCCGCTCCTCCGCTCCCTTCACTGGCTTCCGGTAACTGCTAGAATCCACTTCAAGACACTGGTACTTGCTTACCGTGCTGCGAATGGATCTGGCCCTTCCTACATCCAGGACATGGTTAAACCGTACACCCCAGCGCGTGCACTACGCTCTGCATCAGCCAAATGACTCGTTGCGCCCTCGCTGCGAGGGGGACCCAAGTTCCCATCGGCGAAAACACGTGGGTTTGCTATCCTGGCTCCAAGATGGTGGAATGAGCTCCCCATTGACATCAGGACGGCAGATAGCTTGCACATCTTCCGGCGCAAACTGAAAACTCATCTCTTTCGACTCCACTTCGAGCGTTAGAACGATTAACGAAGCACTTATATACTAATAAAGGACTGGCTTACCTAAAGCCAGTTGAGTAGCACTTGAAATGTTTGGCTCTATGAAACCTGATATACTTATATGATTCTGTTTTCTTCAAGGTTGTGTCTTCCTGGTCGAATGTACTTATTGTAAGTCGCTTTGGACAAAAGCGTCAGCTAAATGCAATGTAATGTAATGTAATGTAATGTAATGTGTGATTAGATTTATAAGGTTTATTAGAGACATTTCCTTTTTTTTATTTCATGGACGTTAGCACTCACACTATAAGTGCCTTGAAAAGCGATACTGTACCTTAGTGTTTTTATTCAAATAACCTGCTTACAACATAACTTAATGGATGTTGTATGATTATTATAAGAGCATGATGTCCTTTATAGTCTAAGTAGCCCATTTGGTAGTTGCTAGTTTGGTATTTGGCCATAACATTAATGTAATGCAGCTTAATTTCATATAACATGTACACTAACTTCAATCTATATAAGAATATTGTATATTAAATAGACACTCTACAGGTATACATCTTTTACTGGTGATACGTATATATACACTGTTTTGTTTATTTTCTACTTTTGATCTATATATTTACTTATACTATGTTTATTTTGTATTTTATTTAATGTTGTATTCATGTGCAATGAGTTGTCTACATGCTGCTGTGACGAAATAATTTACCAGTCTGGAATCAATAAAAATTGATTTAATCTTAATCTAATCTAATCTCTAACAACCGAGAAAAAACATTATACCAATTAAAGCAAAATTATTACTAGGTTTCTGTTAATTGTTACAACTGTAAAGACCTGTGGTACAGTACTTACCTCCGGGGCTGAGGGGGGGGGCGCGGCTTGTTACCCGAGCTTCCAGAGTGACTCAGAAATCTGCTGACACAAACAAAAGTGTGTGTTGGTACAACGCTGCACATCAACAAGCCCTGTGACTACAGCACTGACTCATGTTACCCAACAACCTGTACACAAAACAAAAAGAAACAATTCATTTGGGGGTGGAATTCAATGGAAATGTGGCCTCTTGAGCAACAAAGGGTGATCACAGAAAAAAGTCAGCTAATTCCACTTCTCTTCCCACTCACTCATGCACATGGTTGAATACCCACTGTAACATAAAACAACCAGTAAATGACGATAAAGGAAGTCTCTCCACCCACCTGTGAGCCCGGCCGGTCACCCTCCGTCGGTGAATAAGACTCTCCGCTCGGCAAATCAAGGATCGTCGTCTAGAACAGAATAGACGTCGAGTTGAGGAAGAACGCAGCGAACACGAGAGGATCAGGATGGGGCAGAGAGGCAGTGAGAGACATGCTAATAAGGACTCCAATGGCACACGTGAAATGGAGATGTATTTGGGGATGTAAGACAAAACATCAGCGTTGATATTGAGAAACAGAGAATGAAAACACACAGTGATGAGAGGAGATTTACTCAAATGTGAACAGATCTATGGAGGCGTGTGGTGCAGTGGTTTGTGCGTTGGTGTTCGGATCAGGGGGTCACAGGTTCAAAACCCACTGCAGTCAGCATGTCGTTGTGTCCCTGGGAAAGACACTTCACCCCAAATTGCTCCTGTGGGGATTGCCCACAGTATTGAGTATATAAGTCGCTTTGGATAAAAGCGTCTAACAAGTAACAAGTGACATGTCATGTAATCTAATTATAGCAATTTAAGGAGAATGTAAAAGCAAAAATATTTTTATTTTAGATGATAAAGTAAGTAAGTCTGTTACTCTACTTAAAGAAAAGTGAGACCCACACACCTGTTCTGCTGCTCCTGCTGAAGAAGCTGAACGGCAATCTTCCTCAGATCCAGCACTTCCTTCAGCTCGTCATCCTCCTCCTCAACTAGCTGCTCCTTATCGGAACTGGGAAAAAGTTCAGGATGAAAGTTATTAACACCGGAAAAACTCTGGATATTGACTCACAGGTTTAAACATTTGGAAAACTCATTATCTTGCCCAAATTCATAAAAAGGTCATCAAAAAATAGCTGTCAAAACACGAAAGCCTTCTTTGATATACAAACTAAATGATGTGTAAAAATGTTAGACCACTTAATGATGAAGTTGTTGACATCATGTAGTGTTAGTCACTTCAGCCAATGATTGTCAAAAATGTGCTGAAGTTTTAGACAGCCTACCAACGTGGACCAGAATACCAATATAGCTTTAAATATATATTTTATTTTATCGTGGCATCCAACTCCTTTTTTATAAATGATCAGAACTTAATTTGAACAGTTCTAAGACCAATACGTATAGGTGATAGCTGACCCTTTACACTTAGTTCACAAAGGGAATCTGCTGGGTTCACTTTTGTTTAATGTTTCAGGTGCAATGTTTAGTCGATTGCATTCTTCTTAAATATATTACACAGAAAAAGACAGTTATACAACCTTCAAAATGTTCCTCCAAGTTTGAAGTTTCTTGTCATGTAGCTAAATCACTTTATCTATATATTTTTTGTGATTGTTGTGAAATTTGTCATAAAAATATGAAGTAAAACCATTGTTTCTTGAGCAGTGGCTAACACATTCCTCTGTTGGCCCTATAACGGTCTTGAACTAAGGTAACCGAGGATCAGGATTTATACATTAGCAACCTTGGGATAAACAAAATAAATGTTTCTGAGGAACATCAAATGTCATTCTTAATTTTCCATGGGCAAGGGCTAATGGCAACCAGCCAAATGTTTACTCATTGATGTGAACTCTGATCAGGAAACTCCTTCTACAGAAATCATGGTAAGCCTTTTTCTAAAAATGAATTGCATCTATTATAATAATAAGACGATACGTGTTTGTGCAAGCATCAGAGTGCAAATGTACTGAACAATGGACTCACCCTGATTCCTCTTTCCAGTTATCTTTGCTTTGGTGAGACATGTTAAGAACCTTTTCCAGTTCCTGAAACAAACACACACACACACACACAGACACAAATCACAAATGCATCGACAGAACTGGATCTGACCTCTTCCTGTCCTTTCTTCACTTTTCTTTATGCTTGAATCTTCCTTCTGGTGTTTTGATGTATCGATTCATACCTTTATACAAGACACATGACCGCTCTGCTGCCCGTCACACTCTGACAGAGCAGGATCCTCGTCCGGGTTGGGGTCTATAAAGTCATAGAGATCCTGATCTGATAGAGGGAGGAAGCATCCGCGGTCATCAAATAAACGTTCAAATTGTAGGCACTTCATTCAACCACCCCGCGCACTCCCGTTTTATTGCTTTCAAAGGGAATATGTGATACTTATTTTGGGTAACCTTTGCAAGAGTCCATTTTGGAGAGGAGTGAGAGGGCATCAGCACGGGCTGTCTCTGAAACCTGAGAGTGGAGGCTGACTGTGTCGTCGTCTGAAGGCTGCAGGGGGGAAGAAGAACCACAAGTCAACTCTTGTTCCTATTTCAGGGATTTAACTGAATGCATCGTTGACTGGATGAAGTCTCTAATGTTGTTCTGCTCCCACGGATAGTGTTTTGCAACAGCAGCAGCAGGAAGGTTACTGTGGCTGGGACTCCCACACACATTTCCAGATGTTGATTTTTCCACAACAGCCTCTCCTGTCATGACTTAATCCCCTGTCTGTCCACAAGTTACTCTCGAAGAAACTTTTAAACTAAGCCGTAACACCATTAGCAAGTCCTTCCAGTGCCAAATTAGCTTCCAACTCTCAAAAGATAGTCTGTTGCCGATTGCAATTCTTATCGGTCTCTCAAGTCTGCCTTTTGTTCCTCATAAGCCAGTTTTTTTAATCACTGCTTGGCTACTTTGGCCTCTTTTGATTAGATTTTTGCAAGCATACTTTTGAATTGTGGATTGTGAGGCATAAAAATACTGTGTTATGTCCTGCCTGAAGCCAAAAGGTTTGAATTTGTAGATTAACATGAATATGAAATAGAAATCGCAGGCTTATCACAATCTGTCTGTGTTGTATTTTTGTCATGCCTAGTTCTGTCTTTGGTTTCCTGTCTCTGTGTTCCCCCTCCCATCTTGTTTGTTACTGCTGATTGTGTGCACCTGGTGCCCTGTGTTGTCTCCTCCCCCCTCACCTGTGTCCTGTTCAGTTGATTAGTTTGTGTGCATTTAAGTTCTGGTTGTTCTGTCTGTCTTTGTGAGATTATTGATGTTGTTGGGAAGGTTTTTTTGTTCAGAGGGATTTTTGTGTTTTTGCCTTGCCTTATTTTACTTTGTTGCTAGTTTTGCAAATAAAGTATTTTGAATTTGGATATTCTGCATTTGGGTCCTGTGCACCTTGCCCTCCAGCCGTGACAAAGCTAGTAGCAATGTATTATAATTGTCCAAAGGCCATACTTTGACGTTCTTGTGTCTTTACATTTTTCATTGAGTTAAGTAGTAAAATACAATAACATGATCATCACGAATTGGCCATGTCATTAGCATCTTTAGGGTTTGAACTCTGACCTCAGTCGTAGACAGCCTCTTGTCGCCATTGTCACTACCGATTCCAGAGTCAGGCCCGTGGTTCTTACTGGGATAAAAATCTTCCATGCTGGAAAACAAAACAAACTGCTCATTAGGCCTGTATTTTTGTAAACGTAACCATAACATGTAATTTGCAAGCACACAATTAACAAAAGTAAGTCATTCTGTTAGAGTATCAACTATAAGGCAACTCATGTATTAGTCAATCAGCAGAAAAAACAATCAAGTCATAGTTTAATTAAAGAATTTTGGTAATTATTTGGTGAAAGGTAATTTTTCATGCAAAAATGGCAGAATATTACTTTTTTTAGCATCTCAAATATAGATATGTCCTGCCTGTATATGTTCAATATCATGTTAAACTTAATATTTCGGACACAAAAACAAGATATTTGATAAACTAGGATAGTATTTTTCACTATTTAAGGACATTTTATAGACCATATGTAATTCAAAACTATAATTTGCATGAATTGATAAATATATATTTTTTAATGCAGCTCTTTATGTCATAGTCAAACATTTACCGTAAATGAGTTAGTACCTATCTGTGAGTGGCTGAGGGATGCATCGCTTGCCGAGGGAGGGGAGGTCCAGGGTGTCCGGCTTCTTGTCCGTCCTGCACGCCTGGATGTTCAGGTACTTCAATATGTGCACTTTGCCCTTCAGGCAAATCTGAAACATACAAACGCACACGATGTGTTTCTGTAGTCTGAGTTGTAAAAATCCTCAGTCCTCCACTAGATGGTGCAACTGTACCTGGTTTGTAGAGTAAAAACCATAGAAAGAATTTGTGCTCCATGTTGACAACATATTTTGACGTCAACAGAATTGTACAAATGCACGTACCTGTGCGGGTGGAGACTGCATAGGATTGTTATCTAGGATGATGTGCTGCAGCTGCCTGAGTTTTCTGTAAGCCGGAGGAATCTCTGTAATCTTATTGCAGGAAAAGTCAAGGCGGATGAGAGGTAGGTCAGACAACTCTGTAAGCAGACCAGAGAAAAGCTTTTGTTAAATGTGATGTACAGTTAACGAAATGCAATGGGGGACACATTATATGCTAATGCTGGTGGGTTAGACATAGTAGGAGTGCAGCATAACCCTGAGTCATGTCCACATTGATCTGGTTTCCAGGCTGAGCTACTGAATATAGTACCATGGCATCTCAAAGGAGTACTCCAGCGATTTAGTTTTTATTGTTCTATATATATGGGGAACTCAATTAAAGTGGAAGCACATTACTTTTCTCTAGTATGAGTCAAGCTCCAAAAATTAGATATCCCACAATTCCCAAAATTCCACTTGTTAGGTCGTTCACAGTACATTGTCTTTTTGAAATGCAGATTTTCCATTTAAAATATTCTAGTCTCACAGCTCCTCTCTCCACCTTTAGGGTGTGATACATATTTTTAAATAAATTCACTCAAATTCAAATGCAAGCAGAGAAATGAAAGGTTTCTACAACTGCCTTTCATCACAGAGTTCAAACTCTCATGTGACCTGAACACACTTTACCAAACAAAGTGCCCTGAATCATGGCAAACACTTACACTTAAGGCTTTACTTTTGTAAAATATAAACAAAATCAAAGGCTGCATGCTTTGTTGCTTTATGTTAAAACATGGTTTAAGCATGACAGAACTCCAGGATTATTCAATGTTGCTTGATACATATTATTAGCTGAACCCGTGGTTAGTTTATGAATGAATGGATGAATCCGGTGTGATGGACTGACCCTCAGGCAGCATGTGAAGACAATTCCTCCTGATGTTCAGTTCTCTCAAAGCGTAAAGCCTCCCAACCTGAGCCGGCAGCACCTGGATCTCATTACAGCTCACGTCCTGCAGGGGGAGACAAAGTGTCAGGAATGAGATTGTTCTGGCAGTACCATTAAAACACACATACACATACCATGTATACATCACTTCAGGGGACATTACATTGACTTACATGCATTTCCTGGAGACTTATCCTAACCTTAACCATAACCAACACATGCCTAACCCTAACCCTTACCCTTACCCTTAACCTTACCCTTACCCTTACCCTAACCCTAATCCTAAACCTAACCAAGTCTTCACCCTAAAATTAATGATTCCCCTCATGGGGACCTCCAATTTGTCCCCATAAGGGAGGCGAGTCCCCACACGTGACTGTGTAAACAGATTTAGGTCCCCACAAGTATAGTAATGCTAGGCCACACACACACACACACACACACACGCACGCACACACACACACACACACACACACACACACACACACACATAGCTCACCAGTTCCATCAACTCTTTGGCCTTGCCGATCTCGTCGGGGATGGACACCAGCTTGTTGTTGCTCACAAGCAGAACTTTGAGGGGGAGGCTGAACAAATATTTTGGCAAAACTGACAGGAGATTTCGGCTGTAGGGAGAGATAAAACATTGACCTATTTTAAAAGAAGTATACATGTAGCAGTGAGTATGCAGACACGGGGAATAGAGTGTCAGCAAAAGAGGAAATGTCTGTCTTTCATGAAACATGCCCGGCTTTCAGTGTCCTAAAAAGGGAACAAGCACTTCTTCAAGAGATATAAAACCAGACACACAGGCATTCACTTATTTAATAAGACACAGGAGACAAAACACAGTGATAGCAATGACTCACCTGATGTCCAGGTAAGTCAGCATCTGCAGGTTGATAATGGCTTCTGGGACGCACTTGATGCAGTTGTGGTAGAGGTTGAGCGACTCCAGGGGGGCGAATAGACACAAATCAGGGGGGATTTCTGTCAGTCGATTCTTGGACAAATCTGCAAAGCAAAGGGACAGGAGCTGGTCAAATATGTGCACTTGGAAAACACATCGGACATTATATTATCTTTAAGATCTCCATTATGTTTGCATCAAGCATGAGGCTATATGTTTCAAAGAGAAATCAATACATCTGTGTGACGGAGCCTCCTCATCGAACACTGGTCTAAGATTTCACCAGAGTCTCAGGCCTCGAATGGTTTGAGTGCTTCTGGCAGTGTGATATCTCAGTATTTCCAATATGGATCTCACTGGGAGTGGCACAGTAATGGATTTCATTTGTATGAATGTTTGCAATGAATTAGAAGTCACTCCACATCTTCTCTTTATGTCAAATATCAGTTCCAAGCGGAGAGATAAGGAGATAAAGACTCAAGATGTATTCAAGAACAAAAAATGTATATCGATGTATTTCTCATTTGAGCATTTATTAATAAAGTTATTTGTATGACACCTTAGTATTTCTGGAGTTATGTGACTGCAATGTGTGTTTTAGCACATAAATGTGAAATATCCATCCATCCATCTTCTTCCGCTTATCCGTGGTCGGGTCGCGGGGGTAGCAGTTCCAGCAGAGAGCCCCAAACTTTCTTTTCCCTGGCGACATCAACCAGCTCTGACTGGGGGATCCCAAGGCGCTCCCAGGCCAGCGAAGAGATATAATCCCTCCACCTGGTCCTAGGTCTACCCCTTGGTCTCTTCCCAGCTGGACATGCCTGGAACACCTCCCTAGGGAGGCGCCCAGGTGGCATCCTAACTAGGTGCCCGAACCACCTCAACTGGCTCCTTTCGACGCGAAATGTGAAATATATTTAATGAAATGTGATTTAGTGATATGTGATGTGACGGAATCGGATTTATCTTAAATTGCAGCATCAGTTTGCAGCTAAGGCTGTATTTAGACACTGTTGTATTTTAAGCTAAATGCTAGCACAGCAACAGAAATAAAATGACAACATGCTAATGTTAAGTAGGGATAATGTATGACATCTTCACTTTCTTAATTTGCGTCTAACTACTCATTGGCTGAGTAAAGGCTTATGATAATGTATTTGGTTTTGCAGGTAATTCAATTGATTAACAAAGACAGGGAAATATTGATATTAGTTCCATAACGAAGGTACAATTAGTATTGAAATGTGTCACCTGGTTAGTATAGACCACACTGTGACTGTGCTCTGCTTTACAACTAAAGACAATTAGCTGCAAAATCACAGCCCTTCATTCACCAGCCAAGGGTGCTACTATTCTGTAACAAAAAAAACAGTCTGAATATAATCGTTGCTCCAGTCAATCGATGTTAGCGTAGCGTCTCATTTGCATCTTCCTCTTATGATAAAATATTTAGATACTAGCTCTCTTGCCTAAGAACATGGAGGTAGAGAAGAATACCCATTCAGCACTTTCCCATACACATTACACATATATAATGTACTATATTATAGTCATCATCATTAAGCAGACTTGTAGAGGCCTACATTTCATACATGCCTTTTGTATAACGCGTAAAGCCTCGATCAAGTCACATCAAGGTGGCTTGAATCACTCAAACAGACTAAGACGTTTCCCTGCACACACACACAAATCCACACTATCTTTCTATTTCTCTCCGTCGTCAATTAAATAACACAAACAGCATCCATTTAAAAAGGAAAAGTGAGGCTACATGGGGAAGGTGAGAACAATACATTTAAAGACCACATCATTGATAAGACTTCACATTACATTACATTACATTTAGCTGACGCTTTTATCCAAAGCGACTTACAATAAGTACATTCGACCAGGAAGACACAACCTTGAAGAAAACAGAATCATATAAGTACATCAGGTTTCATAGAGCCAAACATTTCAAGTGCTACTCAACTGGCTTTAGATAAGCCAGTCCTTTATTAGTATATAAGTGCTTTGTTAATAGTTCTATCGCTCGAAGTGGAGTCGAAAGAGATGAGTTTTCAGTTTGCGCCGGAAGATGTGCAAGCTATCTGCCGTCCTGATGTCAATGGGGAGCTCATTCCACCATCTTGGAGCCAGGATAGCAAACCCACGTGTTTTTGCTGATGGGAACTTGGGTCCCCCTCGCAGCGAGGGTGCAGCGAGTCGTTTGGCTGATGCAGAGCATAGTGCACGCGCTGGGGTGTACGGTTTAACCATATCCTGGAAGTACGAAGGGCCAGATCCATTCGCAGCACGGTAAGCAAGTACCAGTGTCTTGAAGTGGATTCTAGCAGTTACCGGAAGCCAGTGAAGGGAGCGGAGGAGCGGAGTGGTGTGGGAGAATTTAGGAAGGTTGAAGACCAGACGAGCTGCTGCATTCTGGATGAGCTGCAGAGGTCGGATGGCACATGCAGGTAGACCAGACAGGAGGGAGTTGCAGTAGTCTAGGCGTGAGATGACGAGAGCCTGGACCAGAACCTGAGTCGCTTTCTGGGTCAGCTGGGGACGTATCCTCCTGATGTTGTAAAGCGTGTATCTGCAGCAGCGGGTTGTAGCAGCGATGTTTGCAGTGAAGGACAGGTTGTTATCTAGGGTCACACCCAGATTCCTTGCAGTCTGAGTCGGGGAAACAACTGAGGTGCCGATGTTGATTGTTAGGTCAAGAGTGGGACAATCTTTTCCCGGAAGGAAGAGCAGCTCAGTCACCTTCACCTTCAGACACATATTGATTCAGCAGCTGCAAATTAGAGTGTGTGCGTGAACGATCTTGTCTCCTGAATTATCTCTGGGTGACATGATAATTAGGGGCCTCTGTGAGGACCTGCACAGCCAGCCACAGATAAAAAGGGCTTTCAATTATTCTGTCCCACCCCTATGGTCCCACCTCCCTGATGTGCCACAGCCATACTGCTGAACGCAAAAACGACTCCATCCCCTTAATGCATGCAATCACATATAGTTACCAGCCTTTATTAAACAATTAAGCGATATGGGCACTACTTTGCACTCACTGTCTGACTGTTAAAGAGGACATAATAAGCTTTTGGGGGGTTTTTCTCTTTATTTCTAGTGTGTTTTATAGGAGTTTTTTGCATGTAAATGGCCTGCAGAGGCTAAAATGAATGTAACTATTCAACACTCACACTTCTATTGGCTAGTGCTCCAACACATTGTAAGATATAGGCTAAGGGGTGGGACATATCTAAGAGGTTGACCAAACACAACAGTGCCTGCCAGCTAACCAATCAGAGCAGACTGGGCTCTGGTTTCAGACAGAGGGTGAAAAGAGGTGCTGCCGCACGGGCAGTATGAGAAATACATTTAAGTATTTTAAAATGTAACGTAGAAGAACAAAATATGATTGTGAACCTAAAAACATGCTTAATGTCCTTTTTTAGAGGTTTCTGTTTTCCGAGGATGGATTACTTATGTCATGTCAGTAGCTTTTATTCAAGGATATTTTTAATAAATGTATACAGACATTAAAGCCTTTAATCCTTGTCATAAGGCGAGCAAAACTATTGTGTCGGTGCTTTTTTGATAGACTTTCTTTAACAAGTATTAAATGTTCAGAAATAGACCCGACAGACCTCTCTCTGTAGCTGTGGTCTGAGCTCTGACAGCAGCTAATAAGCAGAAGTGAGACACAGACCATGAGACAGTCAGTACGAAGGGGAAATTAAGCCGTGAGGTTGAGGGAGACAGACATTACCACACAGGGAAAGACCAAAGCTGGGGTCACAGGGTCTACTTGTTTTCCATTAAGAGTCAATTCTGCCTCTCCCTGAGGCTCGGACCTTGATGCTGTAACGCAGCTGTACACAGACCTCTCTCCCTCCAGCCAAACAACTGGGGATTCTTCTGTAGCGGAGGAATCATATGGGTGGATGGGCGATGGGGGTGGGTGGAGGCAGTCTTTGTGAGCCTGTCCGTCTCCATCCCCTTTTCCCTCCTCCATCCCAGGCCGAGCACCATCTGCAGCTCACAGCCGGGCTTTTATCCTACTGCTGGTCGCCCACTGCTCCATCCAGGCTCCACCACGCTGCACCCTCATGCCAAATCACTAATCTATTCATTTATGTTAGTAGTGCAGATGATGTCTGGCTATGTTTTTCCATGACCCAGCAAACTTTATACTAGCAGACATCCTGCTGAGGGCTGGAGGAAATAACAGACTACATTCTCTCTCACTATACTGCTGCTCCTGAACGGAAAATAGCAGGTTGCAATTTTTAATCTTCAACCTGAGATCATCTCAAGATTCAAGGCTTTTATTGTCATGTGTGCATACAGTAGCTACAGTGTAGTTATGACGATGAAAATCTTAGGTCAGACGCTCCTCCAACAGTGCAATACAATAAAACATAAAATAGTGCAAGTAAATAAAATAAAATAGAATATAATAGAAATAGTGCAGACTAGTCTAAATACAAGTAATTGGAACATTGATGTATATATATAAGTTGCAAACAGATGAATGTTATGGATGTTCTTTCAAAAGTGCAGGTGTTTAGCAGTCTAATGGCCTGTATCTTAATAAAACGGTGCAAGAATATCACTTTTGGTCGACCAGAAATCCATACATCAAGTGAAGAAAACTGAAAATAAATGTACACGTAAAAATACTACCATCCAATCATTTATTTTAACACCTCAGTGACTTCTATACAGCGCTCAATTTAATGAACATGTCAAAAACATGATTAATTGGGGTTCATTATTTGCACTCGGGGGGGAAAAGCGTGTCTGGCTGGCCGGTTAGGGAGTGGTCTGGAGCCTCGCTGAGTTTCAGGAACCTTCTGCTGGTCAGGGATTTGATGTGCTTCTGCTCATCAATCGGCTCCTGGAGATACTGGGGCTGTACCACTGTCTTTTCTTTTTTTTTTTTACAACCGAAGCTTTTACTGAGGATTTTTATTAAGCTTTGTAAGCCTGTTACCACATTATCACCCTAAAATAATTCAAATCTAGGAACTAAATCCACAATTTGAATACAATTATTCATCAGACTAAATGTGTTACTCTGGTTAAAGCAGCAAAAATGTTATTTTTGAAAGTTAAA